TAGTCATAGTGGAAGTCATACATAAAAGTCTTGCTGATATCAAGAAGAGCCATTCCACAGTAAACTGGCTTGTCAAACCTTATTGATGTTCTCCCCATATGGATTGCAATGAGATTTTCGTCAAATAGTATGCAGTGCTGAAAGTTTGGTTTTGCTGAAAGCTTGTTTGCTTTCTTTCGATTGTTGACTAACCTCACATCAACTCGATTCCTGATGTTTTCAATTGTTTTCCAAAGACAGAGTTATTTATCAACTTCAAGAAATCCTTTCCAAATTCGTTCTTTGCACTCGCGCGCAGGTTTGTGTTGAGCTCGATATAACTTCTCAGGCAGGGTTCTTCTTCAAATTTGATTCTTCTGTGAATATTTTTCAACCTTAAACCCTACGCAAGATTTGAAACTCTTGTGCTCGATATAACTTTTCAGCCAGGGTTCTCCTCCAAATTTGATTCCTCTGTGAATATTTTTCAACCATAAACCCAACGCAAGGTTTGAGATTCTTGTGTTGAATGATATATCTCTCCTTATCATTCAGATTTGGCACAAGCTTCTGGACTTGGGCTCTTCCCGCGCTGTGCGCATTGTTGATCTCTGGAGCAAGAGGATAATCGTTGTGAAGATCATGAAGCTCTTTTGGATATTTACGATCAACCTCAAGAATGCACAGAATGTTTCTCCACTTTTTAATCTCTGCTTGTATCAATTATTTGAAACATATGACTGGAAGAGGCTTGCACATTGCGCATCCATAAAGATTGTTCGCGTCTAGATAAGTCAGGTATTTTGATGGCTTTTCTCTGTCAAACTTTTCTCCCATGTATTTGTTGTTTGCCCTTGCATAGCGATTTGTCATAGAGATTCCTTCACGAATTCCTTTCACAAACATCACAAGCATGTCTGGATCACTCAGTAGCTCAAGCTCAACGTTTGTCACATTCAATGTTGCAACCTAAGCCAATCCAGGAGCAGTGTAATACCAAGCAGGGTCGAGACTGTAATTCTCAAGACAGACGTTTCTGAACTCCTCAAACACAAGATCATGATAATCACCCAAGGTCCAAGACCGACCTTCGGCCACGTTCTTCACTTTGAACTCATTCCAGATATTCTTTGAGGGCTCATAATCTTCATCCGTTATATCACAGTCATTCAGCTTTGAATAAAAACTCTCTTTCTGTGGAATTTCTGTTTCTCTGAACTTTTCAAGGCTGCTCATGTAATCATATGGATACACACCCTTTCTTGAGACCAACAAGATTTTGTCCTTGAAAACCTCTCTAGTCTTCAGCTTCCAAATAATCGCAATTGACAAGGTAGTTGTTAAATGATGATAAACTTTTGTCGAACTTTGACTCCTTCGTTTTTCAATCCATCTCCAAGAGCTTTACCAAGGCTTTTCAATGAATAATTTCTCTCAGAAATTTTCTTTACAGATGAATTGTCCTGAGCATCAAGTGAAGAGATTTCTCCAGAGCGACCCAGGTTCTGCCATGAGTTGTAAAGAGAACAGCTCACTAGCCTAATATGTTCACTTCCATTCACGAGAGGTTCTTTGAAGAGAACTGTGAAATCATTTGAATGTGAAATAATTGTCAACACAACCATTTTGATTATAAAACCAATATTTTTTTTATCTTAGAGACACAAATCTCGCATAATATATAGTGGAAAACGTCCAATTACTAGGAGCTTGCCTTTTGTTCGTTAAGAGGATCCCGCTTTATGAAAGTATTGCAAATCATTTCCTATCCTTTCTAACAAGTGAGGTAAAAGATATTGAGGGTGACTCTTAAACTCCAGAGGTGTGGTAGATGAAGGTGGGAGTGTGGGTGGGGGGAAAGAGGTAGAAGTGTCCATGTTCGTGTCCAGATGAAAAAAGAATATATATAACCGAACTGGTATAGCTCAGTCAGGGCGACTGCAATCTTGGCTAGCTCACCATGGTGATCTCCAGTATTCGCAGTAAAGCAAGCGTCAGAAATTTAATCTTCCGCCCTTAGAGTGAACTGAACTTAGAGACTCTTCTGATATTCTTTCCCATGGTTCGAGTGGAAGATAACATCAGTCAGAGCCGTCGAGTTAAACGGCGCTGTCATCTCGAGCAATCTTTATGTTTCTGTGACATCGGCCGTCGTTCATTCATAAAACGCATGCCTTGAGCAGTTTGTTAATCAACTATTACGTGAAAAAAAAAAAAATTTGTGTTTTGAGTCACAATTGGGCCGGATTTGACTGCACACTCATCTTTCAGATTTCGTATTAAAATTGAAAACCTCCGCTCAAGTAGCGGCTAGAGCACCCAAGAGGTAGAGGGAAACACTCTACTATTTCTCGTGTTTTCCCCTACACTTTCGTGCTCTTAACAACAGAGCAGAGCGCAGTCAACACCTCTCTATTTGTTGAATAAGTACCAACACTGCCACTGATGGATCAAAATGAAATGGCAAGGGCTTTCGATAGTTTCCCCCTCACCCCCACCCCTCCTATTTCCTCCTCCTTAACTACGATCAACGTATTACATTTTATTCTTTAGTATTCCGTGATTAAACTTGCCCTCACGAAATGGACAAGTTCTTGCAGTCAAAGATGATTGACATAAGGATCTTTATGAGAGTATATACTTTCCAGTGGGAAATACACTTCTCATTCTGAGCAAGATGTTGCGCGAGCGCCAAAATTCAGGCAACTTGCACTTTGCTTTCTTCGTTCTTATCTTAATTGCTCCAGCAAGTAAAGGTATGTTGATATGTTTTTCCTTTATAAAGCCACAGTATAGCTAACATTGAATTACTGACGTTAAATGACTTGTTTATGGCGATAAAAACGTGGGTTAAATGGAGAACAAAGAGAAAGAAAAATGGGGGAGGGGCGCAAGGAGAGAGAATGGAACATTCAACCGGATCAAAAATAT